ACTACCTTCCCGTAAAGACAAAAATCCTTTTTTTTCACGTCGTTGTGAGTTTATACAGTAGATAATGAGTTATAGTCTAAGAGCTAGCAACGTTTCCGAGAAAGTATTTTAAGACGTCTGGCTCGTTCTCGTTAATATACCTTTTACTATGCTCTCTGGAACAGCATGCGGCGCCTTTGGCTGCGGATACCTGTTGCGTTCACTACTGCGCATCGGAAGAAGTTTATATATTTTTTATTAATTTAGTCCTATACTAGTATTGAATATAAATCGAACATGTCTCCATAGCGCAGTGCGTAGAGTTTCCGACCACGAACCGTGTCAGGGCAAAGACTTTTTTATTTTATTTTCGTTTATATTCTGATAGTAAAGTATTAAATAATTCTGGTAATTCAAAAAAATAAATATTTAATACTTTACTATCAGAATATAAACGAAAATAAAATAAAAAAGTCTTTGCCCTGACCCAGATTCGAACTCTGAATCATCCAATGACTAAAGAATTCAAGGACAAATAACACCCGAGAGCAAATTGTTACCATGGCACCAAACAGTGCCGTAGTCATATTTTTTTCTTAACTTAGCTAGGTGAAGGGATATTTATATTTTTGATAAATGTTTTGACTACGCCTATGGTGTAGGCGATGGCATCATACTAATTAATTACGAAAAAAACGTATTAAAATGTTAACAAAAGGTACAAAACTAGTATCGACATATAGCACACATCAAGTACCTACATATAATATCAGAAAAATAATTATCCAATTCAATAAGAAAATTTAAGAAAACGCTAAAAAGGTGGAGCGGACTGTTTATTTACCTATGAAACGTAACTCCTGGCTCTTTCTTGTTACTGCTTCTTTTACATTTGAAAGCTGAACAACTAATCAGTATTGTAATAAAGTTTATACAAAGTCACAAACTATTAAAAATTGCTAAAATTGTCACTGGTGGCCAGCTGATGACTCATTGTTTGCCACCAAAAGAAAAGGCGTCTAAGGTCACAGATTCTGCTGCAGCCCGTATATAGGCGTTACATGTCCTTATATTCTTTAGTCATTGGAATCATCGGTTCGTGGTCGGAAACTCTACGCACTGCGCTATGGAGATATGTTCTATTTATATTCAATACTAGAATTTAAAGGACTAATAAAAATATAGGATCTTCTTTCAATGCGCAGTAGGGAACGCAACGTTTACCGGCAGCCAAATGAGCCGCATGCTGTTCTAGAGAGCATAGTAAAAAATATATAAAAGAGCCAGACGTCTTAAAATACTTGTTTTTCCGACGTTGCTAGCTCTCGTACTATTATGTGCAAAAACATTCACGAGTATATTCGTTACCAACTAAATTTTTAGTTACGTAATCGAGGGCGCGATTTTTAAATTCATTGTTGCCAACCATGGATATATTGGGCGCCGAGCTGGCTAACTGGAATTTAAATTTCCCGCTGGGGATTCAGGTGGCAGCTCTGCTGTAAAAAATGTCAAGTTGTCACATTTATTTATTTATTTCCTGAAATTGTCATTCGTTTTGACACTTTAGTTCTGTATTACGAGTTTTTGATTTAAATGAATTGTGTTGTGATACTTTAAGCTTAAAAATGTTTACTAGTAGATTTTGAAGTCGAACATTGTTCTTTTTAGAACCTCTCTTAGTGCGAAGTGGGTACAAGATAGCTTAATAGCTGTAAAAAAACCTCATCGCAACTTTATTAGAATATTTTGAACGGCAAAGCGTTAGTCTATGTCTCTTAAGGGTTGTTATGAAGGTTAATTTTGTTGATATAAATAATAGTTCAGTCATTGGGGATCAAAAAAGGAGCCTGCTTGGAAAAAAAAAGTCCGGAAGTTTTGAAACTTTGCAGGTTTATAGGTTTTGGGGTCCCTAACTAAAATCCATAAATTGCACATTTCCAGACATGCCGCCGGCGCCGCCATCTTGCCAAGATGGCGCCCAAAATAGGTATTTTGTGAATATCTCGAAAACTATGCGTTTTTCGCGAAAATTTGAGGAGAGCAAAATTAAAGAGAATAAAATTTTCCATAAAAACGGTTTTTTGCGTAAAATATGATATATTACGTATAGTCGATTTTCCGAAATTAAATGTCGATTAGGGTTCACTAAAACTGGTTTTAGTTTAGTTTCTTCAATTTTGTCATGAAACAGTGACGTATCATTAATTCGCTCATTAATTTATGAATAATTAATTGTCGTGCTGGACAGCATTCATTGCGAACTTACCACCAGGTTCAGCATTGGTCTGGTTGTACCAAAGATGCCGAAGAATGGGGTTGGAAGAAAACAAAAATAGGCATTACTCCAGTCACAATGTTGAAAGATCCAGCTCGAATATCCCTATTGGCATTTTTATCCTATAAATGTAAAACCAACAACTATGGTAAAGCCTGCGGATGCAGAAAAGCAGGATTAAAATGTTCAATGATTTGTGCATACTGCAATGGGAAATCCTGTGACAACGTCACTGAAGTGTCACTCGACAAATCCGATGAAGAGGAGTCAGACTTGCCTGTAGATATCCCTCTGGCGGCTGAAGATGAAGAGTTGGACGAATTGAAAGACCAGCCTGATGAGCCCAGCACAGCAGACACGATCGACTTTGACATCAATGAGCCAGATCCGTCGGACTTGTGCAAATAAGTTAAAGTTTTTAATTTATCTAGTGGAGTAGGCCTCCGGGGAGACCACGTTAAAATAAACGCGCCATATACTTTACCTCTTGGGTGGTGTGGAAACAAGTACACATTTTCAATAATTAAAATTAATTATTCATAAATTAATGAGCGAATTAATGATACACCACTGTTTTATGACAAAATTGAAGAAACTAAACTAAAACTAGTTTTAGTGAACCCTAATCGACATTTGATTTCGGAAAATCGACTATACATAATATATCATATTTTACGCAAAATTGTAAAATATTCAGGGATTTTGTGCCTAAACAGTTGACTTTAGCGAAAATTTTCATAAAACCTTTTTATAGGAAATTTAATTTTCGTTAATTTTGCTCTCCTCAAATTTTCGCGAAAAACGCATAGTTTTCGAGATATTCACAAAATACCGATTTTGGGCGCCATCTTGGCAAGATGGCGGCGCCGGTGGCAAGTCTGGAAATGTGCATTTTATGGATTTTAGTTAGGACCCCAAAACCTATAAACCTGCAAAGTTGCAAAACTTCCGGACTTTTTTCCAAGCAAAAATCCCCAATGACCTATAATAACTATATATGCTATATTTAATCGAAAATACTTCGTAATATTCGACAGTTTCGACTTCGTATTCGACAGTTTATTTAGTATTAGGTGGTATAGCGATGAGAGAATCTGTAATAATTGTTTAAGATTTTTCATTATTTGAGTTTAGTTGAAAATAAGTCTAAAAAGGTATTAGTGTGTCCCAAAAAATAACTAGTCTGTCCAACGACAATATCTTTGAAATGATTAGTTTATTTTATTTTACAAAGAAATAAGTTCGTACAATTGGAAAGCATAGCGGGAAATTAATATATTTAAAATTTGAGTGACAAGTGATTACTTCAAAATATTGTGAAAAAAAACTGTATAAAACTAACAAATTTAAACGAGTTATTTTATTTAAAAAAATGGCATGTGTTAATACAAAACAAACAAGAACAAAACACCACATACTAAAAAAATAAAAAAGAACTATTTCTTACTTTCAAGCTTCAAGAAACGTCCCTCATTTATTATTATATTTATCAATATAACTTATGTACAAATACAAATTTGTAATATTCCACAGGAATAAATAAAACAACATAAATAAAACAAACTATTTTATTAATAATAACAACTTACGGAATTTTATACCTTAAAGGTTAATTAATTAACTTTAATCTTAATTTTTTTAAACCAGTACCTTTTGACGTTATTTTTCTGCAGTACTAAAATTCATTATTTACCTATCGTGTGATGTCGTTATTTTACAGCTACTTCAGTTTTTAGTATATTATTATGTTTAGTTCGATTCTTGTACCATATACGCACTTATCTATGACGAGATGGTATACAAACTTTATTGATGGTAACTTTATTGGTGTTTAAGACTTTCTGCCTGGGCAGTTATATATCCCCTTGATTTTTCCTTCACTTGACTTCAAAAGACACAAAACACACGTAATAACACGAATCAAAATGCATCATCTTCATTATAACCTATCAAAATTATAACCTATATTTTGGCAGGACTTTGACAACTCTCAAAAATCTAAAGGCGAGTTCATACGCATCAGCGTCCGTTTGTCGTTCATCGTTCCGTCAAACCAATCAAATTGAAATATGATCTGTCATTTTTGAAGTAAACCAATAAAACTGGTTAAAAACAACAAGAGACGATGCATGACGGATTTATATTTAAACCCGTGATTTAAACCCATCCATAGTTAACTTAAAAAAATATTAGGAACTTTTTTTAGTAAAATAAATAGATTGGTATGGACGTTATCTGCTTTTCTTCTGTCATCGTCTGTCGAAATCTTACCTGAGAAAAAAAACAGAGTATACAGTACGGTTTTCTAGAATTATTAGCAATACCACTGATTTTTGTAAATTTTACTACAGAAAAATAAAATTACTGTATAAACATACAAATACGTAGAATGTGTAGGTAACGTAGGAGGTGGCAACATTGTAAGGCATCAGGGGAAAACGAATTGCATAAAATCTTAAAAAAATGAAGGTGTGGTACTAAAAAGTATCAGTCGTACTATTTTTTTTAAATCCGTAAAATGCCAAGAAAAATTTCAACGTTCTTATATAAGAGTCATCCTGTATAATATTTTTTACTATATTTTTTCGGTATTTTTAGGTTTGTTTCTTCGCAGCAATGGACAGGGAATAACTGCACTAAGTGCAAAACGTCTTTAGACAAATTTACGTTTGAGGAAAGGATATTAAAGACCACGCAAGTGCATAAGTGAATGGATGAAGGGTTAAAATGCAAACCTACTTACACGTATCCGGCCAGTATGTTTAAAAGGGTGCTTTTTCCCGCTCCCGAGGGACCCATAATGGCCGTTAGTTCTCCAGAACGAAAAATCCCATTTACCGACTTTAACAGCTGCCGCCAACCTGAAAAAAAAATAGGAAAAGTAAGAAAAGTAAACTATGATTATTCTTTGCAGAATTATTTTTTCAACAGTGTTTTTATAGCTGGGAAATAGTATATTGTTTTATTTGGAGTAAAAATGATACTTCTTGTGGCGAGGCTGTACGTTTGACGACATTACAGGGGAGACAAAAAAGTCATTTTTACTCCGAATAGAACATGGTATTTTTTTCAAACGTAATAAATGGTTTTTTTAACAATTTTAATAATTTACCCAAATTATAAAAAATATTTAAAAGAAGTAACTTGTAAGTAATTATAGTTATATCAATAAACTATGGTTACGGCTAATTGAATTTGACACTTTATGTCAGTTTAATAATATATTTTCGTACTTTTATGCTTTCATTCAGAACCTCCCAATTAGTGGAATAAATTAGTGGTTTCAATTACACTTTATACTTTTTAGTTTACGATCATTCGCAATGTCGAAAAAAACACATTTAAAATTAATAAAATATCCTAGCAACAGCTTGCGGTAGTCTGTTGTATCCATAGAGAAAGCATAATATTTAGCTTATAAAACAATAAATTTTTGATTTCTAACCAAACTTTTTCTTGACGGGTGATAATCAAAGGCCAAAATGACATTCCTCGCAAATTTTGAAGTATAATTAGTGGAAAAGTCTTTGGGAAAAGTCAAAAGGTTGTTAACTTTTTCCACTAATTGAAAATTACTACGACTAATTATGACGTTCTGAATGCTTACATTAAAATTAGGTGAACAAACTAATTTACTCATATAACTGATTTCGAGGTTCTGAATGAAGCTTTAGGCATAAAAGTGCCTTATTTTTATGCCTAGGTCTTAAAATGACTTTTTTATATTGTCAATCACGTCGCATAAACTAATACTTTTGTGACGTTTGAAAAAATATATTTTTTTCAAACAGAAATCAGAAGTGCTGTGTATAAAGTCTTTTATGCAGGCCCGGCACCCTTTATGTCGATATATCGCATTGAAATAATACTAATATCATTTATCCAAAAAAATCCTTATGGGTTTTTCGCCACTGCACTGCAAGAAAAATCTACAAAATAAAATAGTTATTTTTGGTAAACATTTCTGAAGGTATTTAACATAAGGTAATATACCAAATACCCTGCGAATGCTATAAATTTTACATTGGTGAAACATCTAGACCCTTAAATGTTAGAATTAAAGAACATAAAAATTGTTTAAGAAAGGGAGATTTTCACAAATCTAAGATTTGTCAGCATTCATGGGACACAGGGTACAGAATAAATTTTAATAACGCCAAAATTATAATGAAAGAAGCGATAGCCTCTAAAAGAAAAATAAAAGAGGCTTTTTTAATTCAATCTAATAAAAATAAATGTATTGCTCATGCATCTGTAGATGTTAAAGAACATTACATAAATAAACATACGTGAAATTTAAAAATAATCATACAGAAAGTTTGGGCTTTTTGGTTTTACCTTATTAAGTAATTATCAGGTAGTAATTGTTAATTTTGAAGTTTAACTTAATATAATGTCATTTTAACAGAACGTCAACGATTTCTTGTAGACGTATCTGTTTTAAAAAGTAAAGTGTTCTCGAATAGTTCAATTTAAATATTTTAAATAGTTTTTTTCTTGATTCTTTAAATTTTTTTGCTTTCGACGACGGAAAGAGAAAATTTTCCGAAACGTTAAGCATTTTTTTCTTTGTTAGGCAAATTTTTATTACTGTAAACACAACTTCTGACAAGCAGCGTCCGTTTAGGTTTAACCAAAGAATATACCTAGCTAGAAAAAGAATGGACTCTGCCATACTGAAAAATGGCCCTACAGAAGTGGCGCCATCTATTGAGTAGGGCTTGTTTTAAATGGATCGAAGCGCGTGCTTTTTAAATGAGCGTATTTATTGAATTTTACTCTAAAATAATTAAATTTAATTATTAAATCTTATTTTTTACACAAATTCAACAATACTAATAACAAGTATCGTTGTGATGTGTAAAAAATAAGATTTTACAGTATAATTTATACAATAATTATTAAATAAAATTAAAGCCAAACATGTGAAATATTATTTATTATTTAAAGTTCTTATTTATAAGTCAAATATTTAAACATCGTTTATTATAATAAAACAAGACCAACGTAATACGCCCAAAGTTTTGTAAATGGAGTAAATATAAATAGGTACTTAAATGATGGCAAAAATAAAAGACTTACATTATATTTTTAGGGCCAGAAACAAAAGGAATTGTCTAATTAAAACACATATAACAAATTATAGTTTGAAAAACGTTTTGATAATCATTTATTTGATAATATTATGATTGGCGCTATGACAACGACAATATTTTTTGAGAATTTGACAATAATATGACAATGGCCGTGGGAAACTATGGAAACTACAAAAAAAATCTGATTTATCGCCATCTGGCAATAACTAGTAGCAACTTCTTAACCTAAAAATTAATTGCACTACCACCTAGTGGCTAGGGCTGGAACTATTTTATTTGAGATTTCCGTGGAAACGGTGAAACCGCTTTTGCTATTTCACTTTCCCGCCCCTGGGTTTAACGCAGAAGTGTTTACCAAAAATAACTATTTTATTTTGTAGATTTTTCTTGCAGTGCAGTGGCGAAAAACCTATAAGGATTTTTTTGGATAGATGAATCCGCCACATAGGTATAGACATTTTTTACTAATATCATTATTAATTTAATAATATTAAAGTCATAATACTTAAGTATTTGATTTTTTACTAGTGCAGAAACTAAAAACACTCACGTACGAGGTTGGTGTGATGTAACGCTGTTTCGGGTAGTAAAAACTAAGTGAAAAAGAACCTGAACTAGGCTTCGTGTTGTGACGATTTCAAATGTTAATAAAATTGCCGAAAAGGTGTTAACGCGTAAAGGAGAGCATAATTAGGGCGTTGTTGGGTGCAATAACATTCAATAACTCAACTTTCCCGGATATTCAACTCTCCCAAAACAACATTTTATAGCTTCATAATTTCTCACAACGATTTGATGAAAAGCAAAAATGGATTCAAGCAGTTCGACCAAACAAGTAAGTAAACAATGCTCATTACATAATCAAAAAGTTAAATAGGCACATACTATGAGCACATACTATGACATACATACTATGAGCACATACTATGAGTACATACTAAATACATACTATGAGATGAGAAGATATAATTTGCAATATTAATGGTATACTTTTTTTTAATCAACTAGTGCTTAATTTTTTTATGAACATCTTCTAAAATTATAATTATGTTCCTTTAAAAATTTTGTTATAGCCGAAATAGCCCCAATTATGCCCCACTAGCAAAACCGGTACGTAAAACTATGCTCGCCACCGTAGTTGAACTCATCTAAAAAGTTTTTTAGATGGAATAATAAATAATTTATAATACAAGTTAGACCTTCTGAAGATATCAAAATATTTGCTTTTTTATTTTTATTTTCGTGTATTTGTATACGTGCCGGTGGCAACACACGGATGGAATGTACCAAGCCAATAACTTAAAGTTTGTTAATTTTTTATCTCGAGCTTTCTCTTCAAGCCAAAAACTATAGACCATCGGAAATGATTATATTGGAAGGTTGTAAACAACATAGTTCCACGAGAAAGTTGTTATGTAATTGGATTTTAGAATAAAGAATGGATCATCAGAGAAAAATAATTATGTTTCTAGATTCCTCTAAGAAAAATATACCGATCTGGCCATCGAAACTGCGTGGCTTGGTTTTTAATTGGAATAATGGAAAATCAAATGTATTAAAAAAAGATAAAAGTTGGGTTGATACATTTCTTCTATGCGGTATTGCCGGATTTTGCATCAAAATTTCAACTCGAATAAGTAGGGATTAATGAAAAATGTTGCATCTGGGGTTAGAACTTTATTTTTCACAATTATTTACTCATTTTACTACAGATCTAATCTATACTAATATATAAAATCCTTAAGTGACTGACATACTGATTAATCACGATCCTGCTCAAACCACTTAACGTAAGAAGCTCAATTTTGGCATACAGGTTGGAAAAATCTGGTAATTGATTAATCACGATCCTGCTTGAAGCTTTTGACGTAAAAAGCTGATTTTTGGAAAACAGATTGACTTTAGGGTGTAGAGGTTCGATAAGAAGGGATTTTTCGAAACTCGAATTCTAAGGGGGTGGATATATTTTTTAGAGGTTCGATAAAAAGGAATTTTTCGAAATTCCAGTTCCAAGAGGGTGAAACCACCCCTCAAATATTACAATATTTTTTATTTAAAATACGGTCAAGTTTCCGAAAAAACGCTTAAACACGTATATTTTATTTTGTTTTTTTACATATTTTAACATTTTTTAAAAATGTATACAGGGCGTTTCAAAAAACCTGGTCATTGATTAATCACGATCCTGCTTAAAGCGCTTGACGTAATAGGCTGATTTTTGGAAAACAGATTGACTTTAGGGTGTAGAGGTTCGATAAGAAGGGATTTTTCGAAACTCGAATACTAAGGGGGTGAAACTATCCTTCAAATATTAAAATATTTTTTATTTAAAAACCGGTGAGTTTTTCGGAAAAACTCTTAAACACGTATATTTTATTTTGTTGTTTTACATATTTTAAGATTTTTTATAAATTTATACAGGGTGTTTCATAAAATATGACCATTGAGTAATCACGATTCTGCTTAAACTGCTTGACGTTTAAAGCTGATTTCTGGCAAACGGATTGACTGTGGGGTGTAGAGGTTCGATAAGGAGGGGTTTCTCGAATCTCAAATTCCAAGATGGTGAAAACGCCCCTCAAATATTACAATATTTGTTATTTAAAAAATGGTTAGTCTTTCGGGAAAACGAGTCTTGGACAAGCATAATTTATTTGGTTTTTTACATATTTTGATTTTTTTTTAAAATCATACAGGGTGTTCCAAAAAGTTGGGTAATTTCTTAACCACGATTCTGCTTAAACTGCTTCTCATAAAAAGCTTAT